CCTACATGTGGAATAATTTGCCTTAGATCCACAGCTCTCATACAGGAGATTAGAACTCCCATAAATTCTTTTACACATCCTAGTACATTTTACCATTCTAAAAGTGCATTTCCCCATCCCCTTTCAGACAGCAGAAATTTAATTTGTATTGTGAGTTTATATTGTGCACTGAATGGTGAATCAGTAAAACTAAAAGATTGCCAACCAGTTTAGAGATAGTTTTGTTCAAATGTAACTTATGTAAGTATGTTTCTCTCTCAATTAGAAATAAATCTACTGTTAATAAATTAATTGGATAGATTTAGTGTAACATATAGATTTAGGTTTCCAGTTTGTGAAATGAAATGCAAATCAATTGTATTATATTTTAGATATTCATGCTTCTCAAACTTCAATATGGATAAAACAAGGACTGTCAAGAAGACTGCAACTGTATATGTACAACTTAATGGGGATGGGAATGCTGTTAGTCTTCGCATCTAGGAATGTTGCTAATATGAGATTATTAAGAAAACTGCAAAGTCAACAACTATCCTAGATTCCATAATATTAGGAAGCTGGCTCAACTATACTTAATATTCTGGTAATACGCAAGAAAGTGACATGGCAATTCAACAATGCATATACAACAGAACAAGATATTTCCATACCAAGACAATTCTTACTGAATTAGTATTTAGCTGATATTTCATTTTTTACAATATTTAAAGTTATATACAGTGCTGTTTTAAGTTAAATAACAAAGTTACTTGGTTCAAAATCTGGTCTTTGTTTTTCCTTCTCTGTACTGTGCAAGGGTAAAGAAAAGAGGTGGTAATACGCATCCTCACATTCGGCTGATAGGAACTCTCACTCATATGGAAAATGAATTGGGTCGTTCCAGAAAAGATCCATACTCCCCCCACAGAGGAAATTTCAGCCGTCCGGAGGAGGAGGGGAGAAAAAATTGTTTCTGATAACAGTAAATGTATTAGGACATCCGAAGGGGGTTAACTTCCTATTTCCTCTGTGGGGGTGGTATGGATGTTTTCTGGAATGACCCATTCTCATTTCAAAAAGTAAGCCTTGGAGCTTTTTTGAAATCGATTTCATTCATGCTTCAACAACCGATCTCCTGCATGTACATCATTGCAAAATGTGCAGCCAGCCTGCAATGTCCAAACCACAGTTGTCCACAACATTTGTTCTCATTGAGCTGTCCATTGATGAGGAAGTGTAGTGTGGAGACAAACAATTTTGATTTGGCTGCATTTATTTGAACACTTGCTTTATTATACCTCCCTCACTGATTCAATAGTTGCTAATGTAAATTTGTACTAGCTCTGCAGGACAGATGTGTTCAATTTTTCCTATACGGTATGGAATAAAGATCATGCTGTTAGTGTTACATGCATGCAAATGGTAACTCACAATCATGTAAAGGCTAATGAAATTCAATTATGGGTTGTCCATAACTACCAACATTTCCTGAAGTGTACAAACTATACGCTTCAGGTAGGCGGGTTCATAACCAATATACACTTTCTAAAATGTTGAACTATAGACCCACCATCATCGGTTAAGTCGCTGTGGGAGGGGGTTGAAAAATGTACTCTCTGTACACCTATGAATTATGGATGATTTACAGTGTAAAACTAATGCTAGATTTAACTGAAAATAATTTTATAGTTTAATATATTGAATATATTTTAAATGTTCCATTTGTGGAGGTCAGTGGCAGCCATTCTTGTGGAAAATTCAAGTAGCTGTGCTCCAGCAGTTAGCTGCAGTGGCACAAATTATTGACATAACCAAAATTTTAATATTGCATGGGATCTTAGATTCGTTTTTATTATTTCCTGGTGTCCTATGAGCCCAGCAAGAACTGCTTATTTTATTATTATAATTTTTAAACATGTAACAATTAAGCTATACAAACAGCAATCATTCTGTGCCTCTATTTCTGCTATAAGTATAAAAATGCATATTCATCTGAGACTGATATTAAACTGTCACTTGAAGCAGACAAGAGGTTTTCGTACTAGTTAATTTAAAAAAGTGGTAGTATTTGAGAGGAACTAAAACGTCACAAACGCAAATGGTTCTGTGGTTTGTTTGATCATACAGTGTGTGTGTATATATTCATACCTTCGATAACGATGTGAACATCAGCTGTCTCAACTTTGAAGTACCAAAATGATGTCTATATTCACACTAGCTACGATGTCCATTATATATTGTGCCTGACATTAGGCTGAAAGTTGGAAAATATTTGCCAGAAACGAGCTTCGCGCCTTGGCGAAGCATGCATTTTACTAAAAACAAATTATTGCTGTGAAAATTTTAATAAATCATGCAACCAATCGTAGGGCTCATTACAAGAAGTATTTAGCGGTAAACCAATCATATTCATTATAACAACATCCTCAAAGCACATGTCAAGGTCAAATGTATAAACCAATCACAACGGAGTTTAGAACAGCCTTTACCAGGGTCTTCTCATTTTTCACGCGCCATGCACGAAGAAGACCCTGGGGACGAGGTTGCGAGTGTTTTAGTTTCCAGTAAAACACCATTGTCCATATGATAAAAACTGTCATTAAATATTAATTACGCAAACCTCTGCCTTAATAATTCCTCATATCCTACTCGACCTCATTCAATAATTGTTTAATAATATAATATAATATAATATAATATAATATAATATAATATAATATAATATAATATAATATAATATAATATAATATAATATAATATAATATAATATAATATAATATAATATAATATGATATGATATAATATGATATGATATGATATGATATGATATGATATGATATGATATGATATGATATAATATATGATATGATATGATATGATGTAATATAGCATTTGTAAATTCTGAACGCTGATTGGATAAGAGCCGTGTTGATATAATTCAATGTCAACACGGGAAATTTTCCGCCGCTTGTAAACACGGAAATTTTTCTCATCCTTCGGGCTTTTGACATTGCTATATTATAAAAAAAATATAACACATTTTTTCCGTATTGATATATAGTTATATCAACACTCGTGGAAGTTGGGAAAACTCGAAATTGTATGAAAACACTCCGCTCTTCGGGCGTCGTGTTTCCATACAATTTCTCGTTTTCCCAATTCCAATCGTGTTGATATAACTGTATATCAACACGGAAAATGTTTTATATTTGTTAAATATAATATAGCATTTGTAAATTCTGAACGCTGATTGGCTAAGAGCCGTGTTGATATAACTCCATGTCAACACGGGAAATTTTCTGCCGCTTGTAAACACGGAAATTTTTCTTATTCTTCGGGCTTTTGACATTGCTATATTATAAAACAAATATAAAACTTTTTTCCGTATTGATATATTGTTATATCAACACTCGTGGAAGTTGGGAAAACTCGAAATTGTG